TTCCCCCACTGGAGAACCGGACCCGTGGGTTCTGCCCCTGCCTCCCGTACGGTCCTGCGCGCACATCGCCCGGGTTGGCGGGCGGACCCGCTGCGCCTGATGCCGAGGCTGCCGGCGACGGGTGATAACTCGTCGGCGGCGAGCTTAACGAGCTCGGCGTCGCGGTGTGGTCCGTGACGGCCAAGATTTCTTCTGTCACGGATCCTCCAGCTGTCGGGATGTCGGATGCCGACTCAACCGACAGCACAGGCCGTGTCCTTGCGGTGCGGTCAAACCTTCTAGCCACTCCGGACGGCTCTCGGTGCGCCATGGCGGACATCCCCTGTCGACGGGAAGCCCGATTGGTTTCTCCGATCGCTTGCGCGTATCGAGCCACGGATTGGTAATCCACATCCGGGTGCGTAGCGAGGTAATTGCGGACCTGCGCGCACGTGGCGGGAAGTAACCCCTCGACGAATAGGGACTTCAACCGTCGGTCGGAGAATACCGTACCGCATCGAAGGGCCTTGTCCCAGAGGTGGTTACTGTAGACCTCCTCCGTCATGTTCGAACTTTGACGGAAGGAGGTCACGTCACCAACCGCTTCGGAAATTACCTCATCGGTCGCAGAGGTACGCAACAAAAAGTTGACGACCTGCGGGTACGTCCTGAGCAGTTCGCGCCGCTCCACGTCAACCGCCATGGTATTTCCATTGAGACGGGACTGGAGTAGGGCGTGAGCCTGACCGGTGAGGTAGAACTGGAAGCACCACACGGCGGCTCCCTCGGTGATCCCGTTGTGGTCGCACGCCATCTTGAGGCGTGCGAGGAATCCCAATACCGCAATCGGATCTTGACCGCTGAACGTGTGGGACCTCATCTGCACATCCAGTTTTTTCGGTAACGGTTAATGTGCCGCGCTACTGTGGAGTCGTAGCGCAAGCTACGCCGTTCCAGGCGGTAGGTCTTGTAGTTGACGGCCTTGGTAAACAGGTCATTGAGGGGCCTGATTACCGTGGGCCGTCGCTCGTCGCTCGTCGGGGCAGCCCGGCGGCGTCTGCTCGAGCGACGAAGCCCCTCATCCGACTCGGTGTGGTAGTCTTCCGAGTCGGACGGGTCGTGCCGGTGCCGGTCTCGGCTTATATCGCGGCGTGCCCTGTGGCCCCGCCTGCGAGAGTCTTCCGAACCGGATGGGTCATCATCGGAGGGGTATCCTCCCCCTCCGGCATCGCGGTATCGCCCGTGGCGTGCGTCGCGGTTATCGCGGTATCGCCAGCGGCGTTCTTCGCGGTCTTCATCCGTCCTGTGACGGGGGTCTTCTGCCTCGGAATACCGGGTGTATTCCGCTTCGGTCCTGTGCGTGCCGGGTGCACGTCTTCTGCTCAACCGGTACGGGTCCTGATTCTCTGTCTCGGGGAGCCCCAGGCGGTTGTCTGTCCCGCGGGGGCCGCCCGTACCGGCGAGTATGGGGAGGACATTTTCTGTAGTCCTCCTTGTAGCACCGTGAACGGTTGGGAGATAGATGGCTCTGCCCTTCGGGTGAGGGTCCATCCTATCAAGCCCGGGTACGGCGCCGATCGGATCAGCGATATTAAGGCTTGAGTCCGGAACGGTTTCACGGCGCGGCGCCGGCGGCGGTACCGCGCCTCCCGTTTCGGTAAATGTCGTGGCCAGACGGATGGCCACGGCGAAGCTAATAGCTCCCTTTAGAGCCAATGCGGTCGGAGATTCGTCCCCCTCCGCGGCGAGCGCTGCCACTACCTCGTCGCGTACGAGGGGGACGATCTTCTCGTCCAGCAGGGCGCGGAGCGCGGTGTCCGCATGCTCCGCCACCAGTCTTGGTGCCGTTCGGTCGAGGCAAACCTGGACGACCTGAGGTAGTTCCTCAGCGAGGAAATCCTCCATCCAGGTTTGTAGTCGCGGGAGTAACGCGTCGTACAGTACTTGTACGCAGTTCCCCCCACCAGCCGGTAGTCCGGCGGTGGTGTCCGACACGGAAGGGGTCTTCTGGCCCCTTGTAGACGGCGGGCGTAGCAGAGCTTCCGGATTGTCGATCCGGGGGCGCTGTGCGCCTCTGCCACTGCGGGTACTTGCTCGCCCGGAGGCTGTATCTTCTCCGGCGGAATCCGCACGGTTCATCGTCGATGATCACTGGCGATCGCCGCGGTGATTTTCGACCTCTTTCAATCCGATCGGTAGTTGCTCGCGCTGGCGATCCAGTGCGGGTTCAACCTCTGCAGTTATGCCTTCCACAAGAGTACCAAAATGTGGTATAACTACCGTCGTCCCGACCACTCGGAACGAGGGGATTTAGAGGTAAGGGAGCGCGCGCCGCTGGGTAACCCACGCGAGCGCAAACCGTACAGAAGGACTCGAAAAGAGGGAAGGCTCACGTGGCCAGTGACGCGCAGCTGATCGGTGGTGTTAGACCCGGACGGCCGGTCACGGGTTAGAAGCCTGAGACTTAGAGGTAAAACCGGACGGAGTTAGCAAAAAGCCGTAAAGGGAAGGGAGGCGAGTCTGCCCCCGTTTACTGGAACGGGGCAGGTGCCCCCGGTCTTAACCCCTAAGTGGGACGCCAGGACACCTGTCCCGCTACAGTAGCTGTTACTTACTGTATACCAGCTACTGTGCTAAATTGGCTAATTTGTGCCATTAACTACTAATTACTTACCGTTCGGATCCTACACGTGTAACCAGCGGGGTACCACTGTACTCTGCACCGGCAGTGTGCTGTTAATATAACTCCTTACAGTTCTTCTCGCGCTTACAGCCCATCATACTGTATCTCAGGGCGGCAGCGGTGGTGCGATTGCCTTCGCGCCGTTGTACTACAAGGTTGTTAAAACCTTTGTACGGTCTGCCGATAGTGGTGATTACTGGAGCCGTACCATCAGCAATCATATAAAACAGGACTTGGACATGACTGGAACAACCGGTGATGGAGCATTTTTATTTAAATGCATACGGGACAAGCTTGACGGCATGTGCATTACTTACGTGGACGATGCCCTTCAAGCAGGTACCAAGGAGTATTCAGATCTAGCCCACAAGACAGAAGAGAAGTTCAAGTGTAAGGGAAGAACTTACGATAAGTTCAGTTTCGTCGGAGTACAAGTTGAAAAAAAGGATTCGGAATACATGATCCACCAAACGTCGTACATCCGAAAGATAGAGAGGCTGCCGAACACGGCCACGTACAAGTCATATCGATCATTAAGAGCTAAATTAGCCTGGATTGCGTACACTAGAACAGATATCAGTTTCTCTATTGCTTAAGCCGCCCTGGTTACCGAATCACAGTATGCTACGGATCCAAAAATTCAAATCCGATACATTAACCGCACCATTAGACGACTCAAGAAAGAGCCATACCTACCATTGAGGTATCCCAAACTTGACGATAGCAAGTTACACATAAGAGTTTTTTCAGATGCTTCGTATGCAAACATATCTGACGGCTCTTCTCAGCTTGGATACATCATATTTCTATGTGATAGCAGAAAACTTTGCCAACCACTCTATTGGTCGTCTCATAAGGCTACGCGAGTGTCAAGATCAGTTTTAGGCAGCGAAACCATGGCCTTTGCTGACTCTTTTGATATGGACTTCATTCTCAGACATGACATACAGTGATGAACATAAAGATACTGATCGTAATGTTTACGGATAGTCTCTCACTATTTGATTTTATCACAAAGGCATCTACAACGGTTGAAAAAAGACTAATGATTGACCTCGAGGTAGTCAAAAAGGCGTACCAACAAAATGAAATGGAACAGATCGGATTCATTCGATCTGAACACAATCTAGCTGACTGCTTGACAAAGGCTAATGGCAACGATTCACTAATCAACACCTTCAAAAGCGCACGAATCATGCACCCCGTGTATCAATGGATTGACAGAAGCCACAATGAGGATACGTCACGTCAGAAGTAGAGGGAATGTGGGAAATTATGGTATGAAGGTGACGCATACAGGACGAATAAAATGCACCTCAACGCAATTAATGTAATGCACAACAACGGGAGCATTTTAATAATCTCAGCTGTCAACATGCAGTGCATCCTCTCCTAAAAATGCTTCGATAGTGCAAAACATTACGTGAGGAGAGGACAAAGCACCTGGCTGAAGTAGTATAAATAAGGGAAGAGTCGAGGCAGACTAGCTGCCAAGACAAGCGAAAAACAAAAACGAAGCCACGACAATAAAAAGCGCGATTCCCCTCATTCGCCTGGTCCTGCCGGTTAACCTTTATTGTTCCCCCCTTTTCTTTTCTTTTTTGCGACAATTTAGCATACATTATCACATCAGTTGCAATTTGCAACTGATGTGATACTGTATGCTGTGTTGGGACGGGCTCTGATGACATGGCTCGTTTTCGTTTTGCGAAAAAGAAACGCGCAAGTCATCTACTGTTCGTGGTTCTTCACAACAACAGCAAGGTCCGTGGTACTGCCTGGAGTAATTGTAGGAATTAAAACACCCTTATGTCAAGTTTACTTTAGCGTTCACGAGGGAAAGGAGTTCCTTTATTTTTCTTTTCACCCAACCGTTCGTCAACCCGTCTGTATCTTTTGAGGTACGTTCGGAGATCGCCGACGCACACTCCACACAACACAAATACAAATGCAGATGCGACTTATTTGTCGCCATGAAAGGGGGCCTTCATGCTTGATAGATATAACTTGAAAATGGTTGGGGTTCGGTTAACTACTAGTTCGACTTCTGTGTGCAGCACGTCAACTACAGCATCTCAGACATATATAAACGTGGAAATGACTTTTTGAACAACGAGAAAACGTTGCATCATCTTCGTTTACTGTGGGAGGGCAAAGACGACCAAGATTGCCCCCGAAATAATATCTACCTACGGTACTGTACATAGGCAAATCTCGCTCCGAGTTGATATAAATACATACACAACATCTAACTCTCGAGGACGGAAAACCTTACCAGCTGCTTCCGCCACCGCCACCGCCAGCACTGCCGCCACCTCCAAAAGCGAAAGAACTGCCATCAGCTCCACCGCCGCGCCTCAGTGACAGCAGCCGGATCCAACCGCGTCAGTTCCGGACTTGTAGTCATGGGCTCTTGATCGCGTCGACGTGAGTTCCAGTCGTTCATCATGTCGAGTCTGATAAAATCGCTGTAATAATGATGAGCCCTTCTCATGCGGAAAAAATACTCCGATTCATAAACATCCCAGCCACTGGGTTGACCGTTGTTCGTTCGGGACTCGACTGTTTTCGGCTCCAGGACCGATTGTCTGCAGATAGGACACTGTGAGTTAATTCGCTGTGGAGTAGCAAACCATTGTAAAATGCATCTCTCGTGGAACTTATGCCCGCACGGAAGAATCTTGACAGCATCTTCCCCCTCACTTGTGACGTCTTGCTCCGTGGTGCCCGTGCCTGCGTTTGCAGTACGAAGGCCATTTCCGGTTGAAACATACTTGACGTTATGCTCAGAGCTCCCCACATTGGTTGATTTCGGCCCATTCGTATCAATTTCCACAAGCGGCTGGGCTTCCTCTTCTTCCGTGTCCTCGTTATCCTCATCTCTCGACTGCTTAAAGTCATTCAGACAAATAGGACAACTGGTGGCAACAAACTGGTTGTTCTCCGCACAAGCGCGGTCCTTATCGATGTTCTCGAGCGCCTCCTTACATTGCTTGAACTTCTGATTTCTGCGGGCCTTCCCAGCAAACACGGCGTGAAGATGCGGCCAGAGTATAGCAATCATGGCGACAAAGGACGCCCCAACGAAGAAGAAGATGACCACAAAGAAAGACCCCGATGAGTTTTCCTCCACTGGCTGAACCTCCATGCCGCTAACAATCTTGACAGTGGCGTGCACGCCGTCCACTATGGCCTGCCCGTACTCGCCTTTCCTCAACTTGGGCTTCATAATGCCCATGATGAGCGGAACCATGTCCGTCCTCAACACATGCTTGACTCCCCTGCCCACAGACAGACCCATGACGTGATCACGCAAGGACAAGAACAAGACGACGCCGTTCTGACACTTGACGTCGCCGACGCCCCAACGATCGTGTAAGTCCTTTGCAAACTCAAAGGCGCGGTTCTCCTTTGAGCCATGGCAGAGGCCGCAGTCCATCTTTTCGACGACGGCGACTGCGAGCTGGGCACCGGCCAGGTCAGAGTGGGCGCAAGTTAGCTTTGTATAGCCGTGGGTGCCATCGTGGATGAAGTTAATGAAGCCGTCGATGGTGTCGGCGTCGGACAGCGAAAGAAGGCCGTCGGGGTCGCACACGGACGAATGCAAACCGCCACGGCCGCATAGACCCACGGGGTCGTCTTGGGGGTTCGGGAGTTCTGTCGACTTCCATGAGGTGGCCGAGGTGTGCAGCAGGTGCAGGAGAAGCAGGAGGAGGAGGAGAAAGGGGCGGGCAGACGCCATGGGGGGGTGGGGTTTAGGGGAAGGGAAGCTAGGGAAAGCGGTGGGCGTTGTTAGAGTGGGTATGTGGGTTGAGAGAGGGAAGGAGGACGGAAGCTTGGTGTTGACCAAGGGCGAAAGAAGGGGAAGGGGTGAAGTCGGAAGAGAGGTTGAGACTGGTTGGGGAAAAGTAGTGTACAATAAGGTTGTCCGTAAAATAACGCGTTGTTTTTTTCCATTTGTTCACGAAGTCGGTGGACGCAACGTAAACCCGAGTTCGAAAAATCCCACCAAGAGTTTTGCGGACTGACCTCCAGCAAGGTACCTGCCCGCCACAAACGCAAGTCTGGTACATCGTTGTGCCGCCCGACGGATCACGTGCACCTGCGCGAATACTCGCTGAAGCATTGTAGCCCCGCCACAAGGACAGAAAGGTTCTCAGTCGATAGGGCGATGTGTTTCGTCTTCTTGACAGGCTGAGGGGGGCCGTTTGGAGAGGACAGCTTTTTAGAAGCTTCTACTTGTCTATCTTTCGCGGTTGCTTCGGCGGCATCTGTGGCAGGTCCTGTCGCGCTTCGATCCATTGATGGACTCTGCGCAGATGAAGCGATAGTGGCGTCCATGACACATATCGATACGACTCGTGCAGTCTGAGACTCGTTTGTGCTGATGAAAAGAACGGAAGACCCACTTCGTTTTCCTTCAAGACGGGCCGATCCGGCAGCTGTGATCAGGCGGATGTGAAACTCGTGGAAAACTCACATGCCCCGAGTTTTCGGTATGCTGGTGAGTTTTGCCAAACGCGTTGTTCGAAAATTTTGCGTTGAGAAAATCCGAGCAAACTCGCCGCCAAAACACGCGTTTTCGTGACTTTACGGGCAACCTTAATACAGGGGTCGAGGTTGGCAAGGGCTGCCGCGCTGTGGCACCTGTGTTCGCTGGCGACGTGTACACGTATCAGGCAGGGAAGATACTGTAAATGCCTCAAAAGGCTCCGCTCGATTGCAACCGATGTCATGATGTGATTTGCTGTGTTGCGACGTTGGGACGGGCTCTGGCGACATGGCTCGTTTTGCTCAAATGAAACGCACAAGTCGTCTACAAGTTATTGTACTGCTTCTTGTGGTTCTTCGCAACAACAGCAAGGTCCGTGGTATGGCCTGCAGTACTGGCCCTTCACAGTACAGTACACAGCGCCTCCCCTATCTTCTCCAACCTTCTGTGTAGCAGTCTTTCGCTCTTGCCCTTTCATGCTCTCATTGGCACGAAATCCCGTCCCCCCCCCGCGGTTGGCGGGGCCGAATACTCTCGTATCCGCCGCTGCAGCAGCTTCATCATCTTCTCATCCAACGCCCATTTGCCCGCGCTAACCTCGAGCGTCTCCACAAACCACCTCCTCGTTGGGACGTCCAAGTCCCCCATTCCCCCGTCCACGGGCAGCGCGTGCGCCGCCTCGCGATCCACCCCGCCCCCGTCCACAGCTGACTTCCACCGCAGATGCTCCAGCCGCAGCGCCGTATGGATCGCCATCAGACACCACGGCCGCCCGCTCCCGACCAGCCGCTCCGCCCCGGTCTCGTTGCGGTCCCCGCGCCGCAAGCACGCCTGCACTCGCTTGATCCCTTGCGCCAGCCGGAGCGACTCCACATATATGTCCCACGTCCTGAAGAAAGACCCCTCGAACACAGACACGCTCGTCACGATCCCTTTGTCCATCGAGTTGAGGATCGCTGTTCGACTTGTAAGCGCGTACGCCCGGATCAGGTCGTCCAGCACCGCCCCGTCCACGGGAAGATCTTCCGACGTTCGCCGTTTCAGACGGCTAATTATCGCTGCTAGCATCCGCCATTCCCCACCTTGCTGCAGGAGGTGACTATACAGGCCCAGGATTTTCCCACGCCATCGCACCCATTTTCGCTCCGGTTCCAGAGTCGGTTCGACCCCGGTGTCCGTGATCCGGTAGTTCCACATTTTGTAGAAGTAACCTCGATGCGCGGCGCCCCGGCCCTGATCCAAAACTTTGGTTGCAGCGTCCATGCGGAAGAATTTGTTCAGTTCTAGCACCGCACCAGATGTATCCTTTAGGACTTCTGATAGCACCAATGCCCGGCAGTAGGTCGACTTGAAGTGATACTCCGAATACGGTACACCGGACTTCACGTCGCGGCAGTACTGCATTGCGGAGAGGATATCTTCGGCGATTGCATTCTTTCGTTCGGCTATCCAATCTTCAACGTTATTGTCGCACCACTTCTCTACCTCCATTGCTGTCGAAACGGGACCTGGTTTGAAAGAATATTTTTCAAGCAGCATCAGAAAGCCGGAAGCACTAACATCATCCTCTGTCACACGAAGTATTTTCATTCGCGTTGCGTGTAGCTTGTACAGCGGTTCAATATCCACTGGTTGTTTAAGACGCTCTCTTAGAGTTCGGTTCTCTTCAAGCGCTCTATGAAACATGGGGATGTATTTTTCGGGCGGGTCTCCCGACTTTTCCATCAGCTTTGCTTCGAGGAGCGAGAAGTACCATTTCAATCGTTTTACTCCAGTGTACCCTTCACGCCATTCTGCAATTGAATCGCAACTCTCCGTTGCATCATCGCCTTCAGAGATCGCGTTCGTATTGCTTAAATCGTACTCGGGCCACTCATCCCTGCGAAAACCTCCCCAACCAAGACCTTCCCTGAGCTTTTGTAGTGCAGTTGACGCCATGGCCAGTATTTCTCCCGAATACCGATTTTGCGGGTGAGTTGGAAACAATGTTCCGATCGTACTCTTAGTCCAGTGTATGTGGTAGAATCGCCGCTCTTGAAGGCGAAGGAATCCCACTGCAGCCTCGCCGAAACGCACTGCAGATAGCCGACAGACATCTTTCTTTTTCTCAACCTTTGCAGGGTGATCCTCATACATCAAAACTGGTCGCGACGTGGTGGTATTTGTTAGCCCAAATGAACCAAAGATGTCACCATCATCACCGAACCCACACCACGGTTCATCCTCATCTTCTTCAAACGCATATCCCAAAACTTCTGCTACACATGAATCAAGACGCTCTGATGCGGCGTTTTGTGCCCAGGGATGTCTTAGTAAAGAGTCAGCAAAACCGAAACAAGCTTCAGCACTGCCAAAATACAGTGTTTCAATCGTGTCACCCTCTCCAAGTGTTTGAAGATCTTCCGCCCTGCAAAGACCGAAAGACGACAAACTCAACTCCCTTTCATCCAAAGCCAAGTCCGCAATCTCCACATATATTCGGCCCAGCAGGATCCAAGCGCCAACGCTCCATGGACGGATACGGAGAGCAATTATGCATTCCGAAGAAGCCTGAAAGAGTCTATCTGCCACTTCTCTCGGACGCTTTCTCCGTTCTGCAGTCTTGTGCTTCTTGTATTCTGCGTCGTATGCAGAAAATATAGACATGGCATGCAATGCGAAAACCTCGAAGAATACGATCGACATTTGCAGTCGTCGCGTTTTCTCCTCTAAGGACTCTGGCCCGTAAAACTTCGATTTGCATTGATTCCATTCGTCTTCTAACTTTGAAACATTCTCCGCAGCTTCCCGAGAAATATCGGTGCTTGTCTCGACTACATCTCCCACGATCTTGTTAAGAGCACGAAAAGGGACCATGGGAACAGTGTGCGGCGCATCTGCAGGTAAACTCTCTGCCAATCTGTACAACACTTCGCGAAGCCGTTTTGCCCGGCCTCCATCACGCCTTCGGCGACACACACCCTCGAAGATCAGCTTCCTGTAGAAAAGGAACACGTTTTTGCAGACATCGACATCCATAGTAGTTCCTGTTGTAGTGGGATCACCAGTTGTGAATGAAAGGCCAATATGCTTGCTCACTCGACAGCCATCTTCCAACCAACGCTTGCTATTCAAAGTCGTCGATGGAATGGATGGCGATTGTAACTCAGGGATATGATACAAGCATTGATAACATTGCGCGAGTTCATGCCGCAGTAAGCTGCCAATCTTCCACTCATAATCGGGATCGTCCTTCAAGTCTGAAACCTCATCTCTCGAATCGTCGGCAGACTCTTGCGAAGAACTTTGGGATCCATCCTTGGAAATACCCTTGGAAACGCTGGATAAAGCGGCCTCTCCAACCAGGTTTTCCTTCCCAGCGTTTGCTGATACAGAAAGTTGGTCTCTGCCATGCCCTCCTTGAAGTTTTGCCAGAGCCGTTTCCTGATTTTGTACTGCCATTTGTTGAACGCGAAGACATAGGAACTTTGCGTAGAGCTTAATCAGTGCGCCGCTTGTTCCCTCCTCGCGACAACATCCCCTAGCAACAAGGGACTTCAAACATAAATGCAACACATATAGCATTGTTCTGGTCTCTGGGCCATCGGATGAGTGCGAATATGCCGAGAACACTTCTGTTCTTAACGGGTTGCTTGGCATACACCTTTGGATGATAAACAAGGAACGAGCAAATGCAAGCATACATCGGGTAAATCCAAGCCTTACATTCTTTTGAGATCCACTTAAGTCCGTGTTTGAAGCTGCATACCTTAGAGACGGGATCTTGCTGATGGTCAGTGATGTCAGCGATACAAGCGCAAGGGCAGAAATTCTCGCTGCTTCTTCCATGGACCACCCGCTAACCCCAACCTCAGAATTCCACAATGTCCAACATGCTGGACTAGAAAGTTTCTTCAGTAAAGCAACGAATCTTCGTATTTGAACCAACAAATCGCTTAACCTCCCAGAGCTAGAATCAGGTCCTTTACCACCGCTATTGTGGTCCCCATCTTTCTCGCTTCGCAATTTTGCGGCATAGTAATGAACCCCCATGCGCAAGCGGACTGAGAAACAGACGAGCTCACCGACAAGGTCCGATGACTTCGTGCATGCCTCTCCAAACACCGCCAATCTCGGTTCCAGTTCCGTTTCGGCATCAAGTCTTCTCTCCCAAGCCTCCAGCTCAGATGGACAAGAAAATTCTGTCCTTAGATCATCTCCACGCCATCCGTCTAGTCCTAAATGACGCACAGCATCATGGACAGAAGATGACAAAATGGAAACAGTTCTCTTTGCGGCTTCAGTATCTCCAGTGCCCATCCTAGAAAGTTCTTCTCGCGCTTTTTCTAAGTCTTTCGCCATCTTCAGACTGGATATCCGCCGGGACAACACGTTTGTAAGTTCCGCAAATGAATATCCAGACAAATCTGGACCTGAGCAGTCTGGGACTAGCCCGCTGGAACTAACGATAAGGCTTTCAACAATAGCGAGTGTTTGCTCCGCTGCAAGGAAAGCTTGCTGCATTTCTCCCTGGCATTCATGCAATTGGCTCCAAAGCCATGATGTGCGTAGCCTTAGAAAGCCATTCTCATTCTCATCCGAAGAGAACAGTCGGATATGCGAGAGGAGACGTCCGGCCTCCAGAAAGCGACTTGCCTTGGCCTTCCCTGCCTTTTTGCCAGATATTATCATTGCTTCGACGATGAGTGCGGTGGTAAGCGCAGAGCCTGGCATGTGTAACTGCAGCTTTTCGCGCAGAGTAGACCAGAGCAACGCAAGCGTTGGTGAATATTGAGGTGCCTTTACCTCAGAAAGGCTTGACAAAACTCGCAGCAGAAGATCTGCTGGGCCGCTGTTCTGGTTTCCAAACGATTGGAGACATTGCACCACAGCTTCTGACTCCTGGGCTTCATTCACGAATACTGCCCATGACGAAGACCTGCCCTTCTCCTTCGAAAGCGCTTGTGAATTCAAAATCGGTGCCTTTCCCCGAACAGAATGGAAGGTCCTATGGCTATCTTCTTCTGCACATATCCTTCCTCCTGCTATGCATACTTTTAACATTGCCTGAATCATGTCATTATCGTCCTGTTCGCTATCTCGCGCACCCGACCGTATTCTCGAGCGTCGCCGATCAGACTCTTGAGCGGACGCCTCAGCTTGATTCTTTTGCCTGTTCGAGCGGCGAACCTCTCTTCGAATTTCAGCTGTGCTTTTGGCAGGAACACTAGTATCTGGTTGTGCTGATCCATCGCCTGCCATCTCATTTCCATTCGCTGGGTTAACAGGCTCCCCTAGGCCAGAGTCAATACCGAGATAACGTTCCCCTTGCTCAAGAAGGGGTTTACTTTCTCCTTGTTGCAACCCTATCCTGTCGGAGGCCCGCATCTGCTTGGGTAAACTAACATCGCCAGACACCGATTCGTCAACCATATCAACAACAACCACTTCCATGTCATCTCTCTTTTCACCTGCTCTCGGTCCCGCAGGAACTTCGGCCACAACCATTACTTCATCAGAACTCCCTTTCGATGTTTCTGGAGTTCCTGCGTCTGGGGTGCTTCTCAAATGTGAATAGTCGAAAATGACAGGATGGCCAACCGGGTATTTCCCTGTTGTGGAACCACTGCCGAGTCTATTGTTAAGACATATTCGAAGAGCATCTACTAAGTTCGCCCATGATAGCTCTCCCAAGCAAATTACTTCCGGGCTGTCAGAGTCAGTTTCCCGATTCAATTGCCTCTCGGCATTCTTAAAACGCAAGCACTGTTCAACTATTTGACACACTTCTTCATCAAGAGATTCATTAGATAGTACAGTTTCCGATATTCCCTCGAAGTCTTCATCTGCGTCTCCAATTGCCCGCAGCACGGCATGGTATGCATTTTGACAAAGAAAATGTCCAGGCCGCATCATTAGAGCGGTCTCAAAAGCGCGACGAGCAACATGCAGTCGGCCACATTGCGTTGCAGCACGGGCAGCGCGTAACCATACAAGAAAATCGGAGGGGTCATCATCTAGAGCCCACGTATACGACAAACACGCGCGCAGAAAGTCCCCGCTCTCGTGGTACACTTCGGCGAGGTTTCGATGCACTGCGTAGCGCAGTTTGCGCTCCCAAAGCGGGCACTCCTGAGATCGCGGGCGCTTCGACCCTATGCGATGGCGCGACAGCTCTGGTGAGGCCTTCCGGCGCTCAATTTGAGAAGCGTGCAAATCCTCTGCTACATGCTCGAATTTTCTCGTCGCTGCTTCGGTTTGCTTATCTTGGTGCATGCGTAGTGCATCTTCATAGTCTTTGCGAAGGCGGTGCTCGCGATGTTCAGAGGTCTCCTTGTGTACGGCGCCTGTACTTCTGTCTTGTTGTGCAGCGCGGGCATCTTTGCGACTGAAAGCGACCCAATTTTGCAACATTGTCCCGAGAAAGACAGAGATGGACTCTAAAGTTGCTATAAAGGGCTATGTCGAGCCGAGCTCTGCAGGATTGTAAATACGAGAATGGGCACGGGAAACAAGGGAAAGCAATAGCAATAGTGCGAGTTAAGAAAGGAGATCTTAGAGGGCTACGGTGATGTAAAATGAAGATGTTGAAAGAGTTCACACCCAGCGAGCATTCTCCACACGTCGCTTATTCGCTGTCTATTTTTTGAAAAACGTGGCCAGTGATGTAGAACGCGAATTCTTTTTTGTGAATTTTCCAAATTTTGTCAAATAATCTCCTCCAGGTTCCCTTTGTGTCAGCTCAGTCTTTGCCGAGGCAGACAAAGGGCGTTAGAGCTGAAAGAGTCAGGCAGCTGCAGTTCTGTGCAGTCAGGCTTGTAATGGACACACTCAGTTTCGATTGTAGACAGTTGTTCCCGTCTTCGCACTTGCAATTTTACTCCCGACTTCAACTATGTATACGTAGTGAAAACTACTGTTGCGTTCTAAATTCGCAACTTACGATACTCAATAAAATGCAAGCAAATAAAAACCATGAGATTTTGTCCTTGAGCAGATTGTTGGAGTGACTTGACCTAGCGGATATGCCCTCATATCCATCATTTCCCTCTTTGAAAGTCCGAAAACAATCTGTGTTTCGAGTGCTGTTGTTAAATATCGATGACATATTGCTCAATAGGATGTTGTAGTGTGTTGGTTTGCAGTAATTTTTGCAAAGCCGCGTTCGGGCCAATCTTTGATAACCCATCAGCCTGATGAGCGAACACAACCGGCTGAGCCGGTTGTGTTCGCTACGAATGAGTCCGATATTGGAAATCGTACGTTCATTGTATGCCTCTCTAATAGCGGCAAGATCCACCATGAACCTCTTCTCAGTCGTTGATGGTTCTGGTGCGACGCGCGAGGTGTGGTGGCATGTAAAGAACGAGGAAAGGTAAGGGAGGACTCCACTCACGTCCGCTTCTCTCTCCTCACAAGTGGATGGACAGGGTGATGCCCCCGACCTCTGCCAGGGCGAGCATTATTTTAATCCCTCCGCCGCGGGCTCTGCCTTTCGCTTCGGTGACCCGCCTTTCCCTTCGTCGTCCTCCTGTCCCCTCATCCATGTCGTCTTGCACTACAGCCACGTGTGGTGGCTGTAGGCAGAGCGACGGGCGTTCGGACGCGTAAGGAGATAACAGGAGACCACCCGGTGGTTGACCGGAACCGGGAACCGGGCGCGGCTTGCGCGGTAGCAAAGAAGAACTAGAGTCAGCAAAAAGAGGAAGAATTAAAGGAAAAACAGAGCTAACGGAGTGGACAGCACAGTAGTTAACGTAAGGCTCGCCCGGATGGGTTGACGCGCGCGGGGGAAGACAGTTAGGATTCTAGGGGTGTGGATGACTCGGTCGGTATGGGCGAGCCAGTACCGAGTCGAGGCTACAACCTAGAATCCAAAAACCAAGGTCAACGACCGAGGCTTCGTGCCTCTTTACTTTAATTATCGGGTTGACTATATAGTCCCCGTCGCCGTACTGGCGAAGCTAAATTACACTATAAATTAGAGTAGCTAGAATATACGGTGTAGAGGACTGGGATGCCCCTTTCCTTTAGCGGGACACCTGTCCTCGGGCGCAGCCCGGATCAGAAGCCGATCTTCCACACGTGTACCCGTGTCATACCCCACGTATATCCTAGGCCTTCACCACGTGTACCCGTGTCCACCCCCACGCGTCACGGGTGGCATACCCCTTTATTTTAATTAGTTATTATTATTATTCTGCTCCGACGTCGACTCCTAAATAGTCGACGCCCGACCCTAAGTAAAACAACACGAAGCCTTGGGTCGACAACCTGGGTTTCTGGAATCGGAGTCGTAGCCTCGCGCCGGTCCCCGTCCCACAACGGTACCACGCGAGCTATCTACGTCCCCGATTCCCACCTACCTCTACCGCGTGCGCCCCCTGCTCCCCTACTGTAGCGTGCGCGCCAGCCTGTCCCTACCGCTCCGCCCCTCCTGGGCGTGTCCTCCATTTCCTTTTACCGCTCCAATTCCCTACTGCGCATAGCGCCCGGCCCCGTACCGGTTCCTTCACGGGTGGTCTCCCGAATCCCCTACACGCGCCTCCGAACTCGCGCGCTCTGCCAGAGGGAGATCCGACCCTTCCCCCTCAGTGCTCGACATACGGGTGTAGCCCCAAGGTATGGCAGAGGTGTTACACGTGTCCACCGGTGGGGATCTGGCATAGGGACCTGGGGAGTCCACGTGTACCCGCGGTACACGTGGTGGTGGTCCAGCGCGATTTTTGGCTGGTAGGACAGCTGTCCCGCTATAGTGTGCAATGCACTACACATGTGTGTCCCAAGGAAGACATTTTCCCGCCAGTATCGGCCTACTGTCTCCTGTGGCGCCTCTAGAAATATGCTACGGAATCTAGACCTAGCTAAACACCTGAACCTGCCTTGCAGGTGCAACAGTCGTGTACTTGGACCCTGTGATGACATCGAACAACGCCTTTGAATCAGTAAGCATTAACAAAGGTATCTCTCGACCGAGAATACGTTGCAAATCATGTCGTAAAATGTATTCATTATCGAATCCGTGAACAAATGCAAGAGTTTCTGCAGCCATACTGGATCTGGTGACTCGGCGTGATTTGTGAGAAGAAAAGTGAATAACAGACCCACGATGATGCTTATCCATCAAAACAATAATATATCCCAATTGGCTTGAGTTGTCGTTGTTGAATGACGCATCTGAGTATACGGTGAGGTATAGCGACGTTAGGACCAATTGAGGGTACTTCATGCGAGTTGAAATTGTGTTTTGAAGATGATTGACAATCTTGTTGACGAGCTTGATGCTTTCATGTCCAAATGTCTTTTCAGTAGCTTGTGCTGTCATTGACACTGCACAAGCTATATCCGGTCTGGAATGGACAGCCCATGCCAGTTTGGCCCTCATAGAGCGATATTCATCAAATGACGAATCTGGACGTAGGAGCTTTATGCGCGATATGTACCCCTTTTGGCCAAAGGAATGACTCACATCATTTTTGGTTACCTCAAGACCAGTAAAAACGAAGGGAGTATCTTCAGATGGTTTGGTGTCAAATGCACGACTTGTGACGGCACCTGAATCACTTCTGAATTCATCCACTCCGACCGGTATGATATCGTCAACATATCATCCAGAAACACCAATGAGCCTTTTTGCTAACCGTTTATAGAACACAGGAAGTTCAAAATCTGGTAAAATCAATTTCTGTGCG